TTCAATTCATGGATGGACACTAGTCACACTTTTGTGGATATTTTGAATCTATGTGTATGGGGATCTCATTTTTCAATGAATTTTGGTCCTTGCACAATTTGCAATAGATTCGTACATTCCCTCTCTTGAGGGTGAATCATTTTGTCTCATAATAATTCACTCTCATTTATCTTTGGATCATCCATTTGACTTGTGGCTATTGTTTTGTGTGGTTGATTGTGTGCTAGCCATGAACTCAAATGGGGCCTAAATGTTCGACCATTCCTTTCTCTCCAACTCCCATCAAAAGTTTGTGAAAAATTGAATCTCTTCAAAATTCCCGGTGCAATTCCCTTAAACAAAATTCATTTCCAAAAGTTTGCAAAATGTTTTCATCAAAATTCCGGCGAAAATCCTCCCTTTTTGTGCTTAGATGCCAAAGGGGGAGAAGATCTATCCTTTTATTATGGTCGAACATGAGTGGTTTTTATTTATATGAGACATGTGTATTTCTTAAGTTAGTTTAATGCTTTGTAAGACATTATTGTTTAATTATGAATGCTTGGGATGTAATGGATAATGTTGTGATTGTCATGAGATGAAATGATTATTATGCATGAGATGTGATGAATGTGATGAGTAACATGTGATATATTTGTTGTCTTGTGAGCTCCAATATGGATGCAAAGATTTAGGGGGAGCTCTCTACTTGCTTTAATGCACACTTTTAGGGGGAGCTTTCACTAAATCTTTGCACCAAAATCATCTATTATATTCATTCTCTTGTGATCTAATCGTATTGTCATCAATCACCAAAAATGGGGAGATTGAAAGTGCATCTAGGCCCCTAATGATTTTTGATGATTGATTACAATGCGATTAGAGAGGACTAACTTTTATTCAAGCAAATGTGAAGGTTGTTATGTCCTCGACATGTTGTAATGAGATGCATACCCCATGAATGCGACATCACGATGCAATGCGGCAATGATCAAATGGTATGTTGTATCTTTTACCTTGCATTGTGTCGTACGAATGCCGTACTATTAAGAGGGATACCACATGTATATAATTGGTAGAACACTAGTGCTCAAAATGCTTCATCTTTGTGTGAGTTGAAAAACCTAAGCCAAAATTTCAATCCCGAGTTGTTTCACTTGTCACAACACTTACACCGGGTTTCTTTGCAAGTTTTTCAACATCTCTTGAAGGTTTTGGACCATGTTTTATGTTGGGTTTGATAGCCCACGAAACTAGCTTTCCATAGAGTCCAAGATCTTCGAAATCGAAGTTCGGAGTAAAAAGTTATTGCATTTTTACTTGAGCAACATCAGACTACACGATTTGAAATCAGACTATCCGATATATCGGACTATCCAATTTTTCACAGAACTTCACTCTCTGTCTTTGTTTGAAAAATCCTTTTGAGTGAGTTTTTCTATGTGTCGGAGTATCCGATGTTGGATCAGATAGTCCGATGATACAGAGACTCCGAAATTTCATGCAACTTGAGTCTTTTTTTGAGGACGAAGTTTTTGCTTCTAAAATATCGGATACTCCGATTTAACATAAGATAGTCCGATGTCTCGGAAAGTCCGAAATTTTATGGAACTTCGTTCTCTGTTTCTCATTGCCTTGGAGGTTTAAAATATCGGACTATCCGATCTTATATCGGACTATCCGACGTGGGCTGAAAGATTCTCCTCCAACGATCACTTTTTGGGGATATATAAATACCCCCCACCTAACCCTTTTATAGGGTTACCTAACTCATTCATTCTCATTCACTTTGGGTTGAGCTTGGTGCTAAGGTGCTTTGGATCTTTGAGCTCTTTCTTCCTCTCTCAAATCCCTCCTCGTTCTTTGTGTGGTGGATCTTGGTGGTTGTGGATTTGGTGTTGGAGGGCCTAGTGTGTGTTTCACTCGATCTTGAGCACTAGAGTTTGACCAAGAGTTGTGTGGTGTTTGTTACTCTTGGAGGTTGAGGACTCCTAGACGGCTAGGTGTCACTCCCTAACCACCAATCTACGTGTGGTTGGCCGGGAGAAGTTTGTGAAGGCCGGATCTCGCCTCCGCAAGGAAAGAGATACCCCTTAGTGGAAGGAGGAGTGCTTAGTGCAACCTCTTGAGGAAAGGGTTAGCAAAGACCAGGCTCTTAGTGAGCTCCTCAACGGAGAGTAGAATCCCCTCAAGGATTTGAACTCCGGGAACAACTTCGTGAACTTCATCATTGGTGATCTCCCTTCATCCTCCTTTTAGCTTTGCTTAATTGTGCCGCTATAGATCTAGTCGTTGTTTGTGGTTTACTCTTGTTTGTGTGATAGATCTACTTGTTGTGCTTCATTAGTGGATTAGATAGTCTGATCCAACATTAGACTATCTGATATTTTCGGATAGTCTGACTGTGGATCAGACTTTCCGACCTTATTTTAGTTTTAGCTTCCGCATAAAGTTTTAAATTAGCCTATTCACCCCCTCTAGGCCTAATTGACCCTTTCAGGATCAAATGGCGCATCTGCAATATTCCAATGGACGGCTGGAATGAGACGGGTTACGGCGACAAGAGGGTCTACTACCTCAACCATTGAATTCACCAAAGCCAACGCCGCCGGGAACTCGCGCTCGCTGTGTGCTACGTAGCCGTCACCGGGTTATAGCTGTTGCAAGCGGCGTCACCATCCTCGTTGATGTTCGTGCCGCCGCTCGAGCTCAGTGACACCTTGGGAATATTTGAAATACGACTTGAAAATATCCACTGCACCACCGCCATCTCCCTTGTCGCCACCGCCTCCCCGCATCCATCGGCAATTCCGCATCACCGTCGCGAGGAGGTGCGACCTCGTAGTCCAGTGCCGCCTCCTTCTCCTCCTCCTCCACCTGCGTCGGCTCCAGCCCACCATCGCCGCTCTAGCTAGCTCCCGCCGGCCGCCACCACTCAGGCCCCCGCTCGCCGCCACTCCATCCCGTGCTCCCCGCGGACGGCTGAAGGGAAGGGAAAGAGAAAGAAAGAGAGAAGGTAGGAAGAAGAAAGAGAGGATAACATGTGGGGCCCGCATGTCAGTGGGTCCCACAATTTTTTTTGAATGACAAACGGGTCCCACATATATGTTTTTAATTCAAATGCCACCTAAGCGTCACGTCAACACCACAGATTAGGTCAACACCGCCACATCAGCGCTATGTCAGCGAAACCACCCTCCAAAACCACCAAAGGAGTCAAATTGTACCGGTTTCAATAGTTTAGGGGTCGAGATATCCGGTTTTGCGGTTTAGGATCATGGATTAGATTCGAGTCACTTCTTTCTCACAGGGAGTCGAAGTGGACTTATTCCTAAATACTAATCAGTAGGAAAACCCTAAGCACCGCCAATCCTCGGTTTTGGCGGGCTCCGTTGCCCCCAAAACCCACCAAATCCCCCATATTTTCCGAATCGAATCCCCCACATTTGCCTTCCGCCGGCGAGGAGAGGAAAGACGGGGGGTCGCCGGCGATGGCGGGGACGATCTCCCGCATCCGGCTGGAGAACTTCATGTGCCACTCCAGCCTCCACATCGAGCTCGGCCAACACGTCAACTTCATCACCGGCCAGAACGGCAGTACGCCTCCCCTCCCTCCCGCAAACCCTAGCCTCCTCTTTTCCTCCCCTCTCGATCGATCCGTGCCTTATCATTTCTCTCCGTCGCAGGCGGGAAGAGCGCCGTCCTGACGGCGCTGTGTATCGCTTTCGGCTCCCGCGCCAAGAGCACCCAGCGCGCCGCCGCCCTCAAGGACTTCATCAAGACCGACTGCAGGTTGCGCCCTACTTTGTTCATTTCTACTTTACCTGAATTTCGGGTATTCGTAAATTAAAAAAAACAAGTCTTGGATACTTGTTGGCCGTTGTCGAGTTTCCTCTGATTCATTAAAAAAAAAGGCTCTTTTAAGTGTGTGTCAGTGTTTGTGTGGGTGGTCCTTCATCGGTTATTCCATGAATCTGTGCATGTATTTTGGATAGTTTTTTTTTTCACATGCTATGCAAGCGACCAATGGTTTCACACCAAATTTCTCATTACAGCCAAATTTTTCTTTTGTGATTGAAGCGGCAAGAAATTTAATTGATAATAAGGATGAGTACACATAGATCATCGATTTTAAAAGATGAGTTCTTAAAACTGAACCCAAAAAATAGAGCCTACTCATCAGGTCATGTGTGTGCAGCCTCTGCATTCATACATTTACAAACTGGTAAAACCGTCATCAGTTGAGTCGGGCAAACTGATAGAATTGATGTGCAAAGGCCGAGTGGCTGGTTGGCACAGCTCCAAATCCTAGATTCTTGCAGAATATGGACTTTGTAGGCTAAAATAAAGTGATTTAAGCCTCTTTTAGTCTAAAAGGCGAGCAAGATGTCTCATTCAATCAATCCCAGTCTACCTCTTGTCCTAGCTCCAAGGATCATTGGAGCTTCTTGCAGTTCAAGTTCTGCCAGACAGGGGCACAATAATTTTTCATTGTGGGCGCATGCTAGGAGGTGAAAGCACGCCATGCAGACGAACTCTGCTCGCTTTATTAAGTGTTATGCTAGCAGCAAAATTCTATCAAATCCTCTTAACGGGTGAAGTGCTGGTTGAAAACACAGAACCAGTTTGATTGGATCGGTGATGGTGCTGTTTATTCAGTAGCTATGAAAGACGGTAGAGTGGATCTTTAAATCTTTGACGCATGGTTTTTCAATTCAAAGGTCACTCGATGGTTTTGTGTTTTCTTCTGACTGTTCTGTCTGTCTTTTGTGATTGTCTGTAATATGTCTTATTTGTTCAATTAAAATTGCAGTTATGCTGCAATTATTGTTGATATCAATAACCAAGGGGAAGACGCATTCAAGCCTGAAGTATATGGAGATTTAGTTAGATTGGAACGCAGGATTACTGAGTCAAGTAGTTCTATGTTTTTAAAGGATCAACATGGTAATAAAACTTGATTCATCCTCCTGTCTAATCGACTGTTGTCCATTTTTACAGTTGCATTTTCTTGTTTAAAGTTGCTGATATTTTGTTTTAAGTCATTACAATTTAGCCGTTGGACCTTCCAATTTGCATGCCAAATTCTTTCTGCAATGTTGTTTTCCTTTTTCTGTCAATTAGGGATATAAGTTGGTCCTAGTCAGACCAACTAGTCTACTCATCCTAGTACTTTCCAGAACCACTTATAGAAGTGTGCACAAAATGAATCATACACTAGGTGTGAAGTGTACCAAGGACTAAGTGGAATGAGTCAATGTGTTGGCTTGTTTTCATTTCTTAACCTTGCATTTCTCATTTACTTAGTCATTCTCTTAAGTCTATTGCATATTTCTATTCTATGTAGTAACAAGCACGATTTTCCAATGTTTAGGCTGTTGTTTCTCTTATTCTTCCCTTACCTTTCATTAAAAACTTAAGACTGGTGAACCAGTTTGAAGATGGTAAATAACCTGCATACCGTGCGTACATGAGAAAATTGTATATATACCACTCTAAATAGTGCAACTCCAAGAAATGCCACTCAGAAATTCAGAATGCAACTGTTCTAATGCCACTGAAAAAAAAGTAAAAGTTCTATTTTTTGCCACTCTAAGCCCTTAACAATATTTGGTATCTGTACTACGTATTCTTCTCCCCTTGTTCCACCACAGTAACTAGGTCCATACCTCTGGTCACCATTGGTATGAGCAGCTCCTACCCCTGAGCTTTGGTCTTGCCTTGTACTGTTTGTTGGGGAGGAAAATTTGAAACAGCACCGAATTTCTGGTGATCAAGCTGGCTGGAGTCAGGGCCAATTGAGACTGCCCTTCCAGCTCTGTTTTCTCAGGTCAAGAAGGGTGCTCTGACGGTGAAGCAGGGGCTCCAGTGAAACTGATGGATGTGGTCTTTACAGGTAGCTCCATCCACAAGGGCTTTTGAAGAATATTTTCAGGTACGGGATGCAGTGCAGGAATTTTCACTGAGTGGTGATCAAGATGTGGTACGCTGGAAGTTGGAAGCTCATGGACACTTCAAAGTTGACTTGGCTTACCGGCTATTCTCTACAGTACATGAGTGCTCGTCCTTGGGCAAATTGCTCTGTCAGACTGTCACACAAGGGCACCATCAAAAGTGCACTTCTTCATGTGGTTTGCAATCAAGGGTCTATGCCTGACGGTGGACAACCTGCTGAAGAGAGGCTGGTTTCATCAGCACTGCTGACCTCTGTGCCAGTCAAAAAAGCTTTTGACTCGTTCTGTCTGATGTTGTGCTGTCTCGTGTGGAATGAAAGAAATAGCGGGGTGCTTGATGTGTGAATGCGATCCTCCACTCAACTATTCTCAGAAATAAAAAAATGAAATCATGGTGTGGTGTGAAGCGGGTTTGTTCAAGACAAGCAAGTGAGTATGTGGTTGCTGGCACACGCCCGCTTGTCTTTCCTATGGTCCTCGACAGCCTACTGTCGACAACAGTCTGTAATTTGTAATTTGGATTTTTCTCCCGAAATCTTGATGAAATTAGTTGGCCATATCTTCAGTCAACTCTGCTAAAAGAAATGTGAAACATACAGGGGCAAAATGGTTAAGAAAGTGTGTATGTTCATACTAGAAATAACAGTAAAGAGCTCAAAGTGGCAAAGATAGCATTCCATCTCTTTCGAGTGATTATGAATGATTACATTTTCTAGAGTGGCATTTCTTACAGTAGGAACTTTTGGAGTGGCATATATCCAGTTTTATCTAATTTTTATGTTTGCATGGATCATAAAGTCTGCATTCTGGACAATATAATCATACTCAGGCAAATTTTAGGTGTCCTGGTTCTACATGTTATTTTAATTCCCATTATAGATCATTATAGGCTTGCCGTGCATGAAAACGAATATTACTGGCATATGAAATCAGATATGGAACTGAATCATGGCTGAACTATAGATAGGCTGCAAATGTTGTATTTAAAAGAAGGATAACCACAACAAATTTGCTAAAAAAGAATACTGTTCCTTTTGTTTCTTTACCTATTGAATTACATGTTTTCTTATGATTTTTATGCTCGTCCAACTGTAAATTTGTGCATGTGCTGTGCACAGGGAGGAAGGTGGCACATCGTAAAGACGATCTCATTGAGATAATTGAACATTTCAATGTAAGTTGCTTATATGCATAGAATATTCCTGTAGTTTTCAAGGTAGTTTCCCTTCCAATTGTTTGTTTAAGTCCTTGAGACTTGTTTGGACACTTGCGAAGCGTAAACTAATGATACCTTCTCATATACGTATTGTAAGTAGATGGGACATTTCCTAGTACTATGAATCTGGACAGTCTGTCCAGATTCGTAGTACTAGGAAGTAGGAAATGTCCCATCTGGTCCTAGGTTCTTATATTTTGGGACGGAGGTAGTATAATATTTTGAGAACTTTTAGTTTTGTCAAAATTATATTGTTGACAATGAAGTTGGCATGCACACCAATTATTTTGAATCAAGTTGGCAAGTGCATCACATCACCAGGATGTTAAATTTAGATGCATGAATTCTTATTTACTACCCTTTGACATTAACTTATCTCATTGACAACTGCTGTGGGGAAAACAAACAAAAATGCATCCCCCAGCCCCAAAAAGTTGAAATTTAATCTTCCTCAAGTGTACTTTTAGTTCTGCTAATTGCCATGTGTGTGTACACCTAATAACAATTGCATACTTGCCAGTCACCATTTGCTAGTGCACCTATTCTGGGGTTTGGCATCCGAAAACAACTGTCATGTACCTTTGTGCCATGTCAGAAGCATTAATGCATCTAAGGAAGGGATTTCACCCCTTTGTGATTGCAGAATGGAACAATGAATGGTTTTGTTGCATGCAATAAGAAATTTGATGTATGAATATGCATTCATTTATAGCACTTTACTAATTTCATTTATAGTTCATCCTTCTTTAATAGTTTTCTTTGTGAAGCATACTTAAGAGTTTGGAATCTTCAAGGGTCTCGCATATCACCTTCCATGCTTCAACAATCATTTGTACTATTCCAGTATTGTTCTCTAGTCACGTGACTTGTTGCGGTTAGTCCTAAAGCAGTCGTAAAGTTGGCCAAGTCACACTACTAGAGGGCCATGACTCGACCAATAGCATGTCGCACGATTAGTATAGATTGGTAAAGTCGGTTGTAGCAAATCACCAAATTACCATGCTAATTGGCTTATTGTGTTTAGTACTATAGTTTTATTTCTTGTTGACTTATTGTCTTGCTGGCTACTCCATGGTCCTAGTTTATACTGTATGTAGTGCTTAGTAGAGTATAATAGTAGTAAAGACTAATATAGTGCATCCCCTGTTTCGCACGAGCAAGAGCAAGTCGTGGATTAGTTGACCAAGTCAACAAGTCCTTATGCTGTACTCCCTCCGTCCCATAATAAGTTCATTTTTGGCTCCTCCTATTTGTCCCAATAAGTCCATTTTCGAGGAATCATTGCATCGGAGTTTGTGAAAGTAGGGAATGCTTGCATTGGGAGTAGATAAAGTGAGGAATAGTTATATTGGGATTTGATAAAGTAGGGGTGTTCTAGACTTTTTGGCTTTGTATTGGTATGTGTGTGATGGGTGAAAAATGAACTTATTTTGGGACGGTGGGAGTAATTCTAACTAAAGTGCCTTATATGTAATGTAAGAACTCTGCATTTTCTGATGTGTATGGTTTTTCTTTTTCAGATTGATGTTGAAAATCCTTGTGTCATTATGAGTCAGGACAAAAGTAGAGAATTCTTACATTCAGGGAATAACAAGGACAAGTTTAAGGTAATTAGTTTCATTAGTATAATGGCAATATCATTACAAGCATGATTCTTCATTTTTTTTATTTATGCATTACAACATTCGGAAACATCTACTGTACTGTATATTCCTTGACTAAGGAACTTCATGCTTCAATCCTCATATACGTATTTATTCAATGGCATTGTGAAGAATGCTTCCTGTTCATTTGTCTACTGCTCTCGAATGCATTCATGTGTCTTTTTGTTCTTTCCATCTACCAGTAGTACTGTTTTTTGGTAGATCATGCTCCTTTCAGCGGTATATGATGTTTTAGAAAACATTTAGTCCGACTTTGTTTTTAGATTTGATTACTACTATTTGGGTTTGTCATTTGAAAATGGTATATTAGATTTGTCATGACTAATATTTCCGTAATGTATTAGTTTTTCATTACATATCAATAGAAAAAAATAACACCATAGTGGATTATCTAACCAGGGCAGATATCTGATGGTAGCTTACTATTTGAGATGACAGTAAAATGAAGTCAATGCAATGGTGCTGTTGTCATAATTCTGCCTCATACCTGTTCTTATTATATCTTTTCGTGTGATAATTGTGAGCATTGTTCTAGCCCTTGTGTTCATACTATCAGATTTGATGTTATTCATGAGTATGCATTTAATTTAATTATTAATTAGGTATTTATAAACCAGATAGGCACATGGGCTAGACTATGTAATATATGTATACTAGACTTAGCTCACTATGTTTTCTTCTAGTTCTTTTTCAAGGCTACTCTTCTTCAACATGTAAATGATTTGCTTCTGGCGATAAGAGAACTGTTGGACAATGCGGACTCTGTTGTGCAAGAATTGGAAAAGTCAATTAAGCCAGCAATGATGGAGCTTGATGAATTACAACAGAAGATAAAGAATATGGAACATATAGAGGAGATAGCACATGAAATTGATAACTTAAAGAAAAAGTTGGCCTGGTCCTGGGTTTATGATGTTGACAGACAAATTGAAGAACAAACAGTAAAACTTCTGAAACTGAAAGAGCGAATTCCCGCCTGCCAAGAAAAAATTGATGGACATGCAGTAAGTTGAGATCTTACTGGGCACGAGCATTTTATTTTTTGAGTAACGCAATGTACGTTTAATATGATTGTTCTATAATGTTACCCCGCTAAGGAACCATTGCAAAGTTGGCACTTTAAATTATGCCATCGCGAAGTTTGAGGCTGGAAATATCCATTGCAAAGAGCATATGTTCATAGGTATGCCATGCAAAGGATGCGCTCGGCTCTCATGGCGAAGGAGGTGGAGGAGCTTGGCTGTGATGGGGACACATCGATCCTGAGTCCTGACCAGCGGCTTCCTCTCTTCTTCCCTCCCATGAATTTTCAAAGGATGAGCACAATGCGGTGGCTGTGACATTTGATTGTTTGCTGCTAGCCAAGGAACCCGGTGGTTGTAATTTTTTTAGGCTTGCTGATAAATGGGGAATCAGCTACTGTTTTGTTATGTTTGCCCATATATCTTCTTATCGATTGCATGGTTATATATACAAACAATAAGCGTTACTATATTGGAATATTGATTGCTGATAAAGGTTTGTTGATAAAGGTGATCTTGCTTAATTTGATTTTATTTGATTTTGTTCTACTATATGCAAACTGCATGGTTATATTCTAAAAAATATCTTGCTTAATTAATTATTCCGATGTATATAAAGTCTATTGTTCAAGGATTCATACGCCTAACTTATTACATATTCTTATGTAGGCCATGATAGTCAAATTGAAGGAAGAATTAACAGATAAGGAAAGAAATGCCAGATCTTTGGTAGAAAAGTCACGTGAAGTAACCATGATGAAAGAAAAACTGGAGGATGACATTGCTCAGGTATGTGACTATTATTTTCAGTTCAGGAACATGAGTTCTCTTCAGAAGGTGTTCTCTACATGCTGTTTTTCATTGTGCAAGGAAATAAAACTGAAATGGTTATGACCATGTGATGTATAAGAATTGACCAATCAAAGGTCTCCAAACATGAATGACCCCATCTGTTGTCCCATTTTTTTTTTGTCTTCTGTGTTCTTTAGGTTTATAAATTGCTGTCATCTGCAACTTTCTCTGCTTGTTATTCTTATTGAATCTGTAACCATAAATTATTTTTTGCTTGATATTTGTTTAGGCTAATAGTGATTTCCCAGAAATATTATTATTCAATAAGTGCTTGGGTTCCTACTGAGTGCTGAAATTAGCTTAATTTTGCTTAGTATTATTCTTTTCGTAATCCTTCTTTGTTGTCTTGTGCGCATAATCTTGTCGATAGGGGAGAGAATTGTGCTATCTTCTTGGAATCGGTTTACCTAGGGCCCTAATGCCCACCTGGCTGCAAACTGGCATCAAGTGCCTAAATTGCTGCTGAGCTGTGGCTTGGTGGCTGCCATTGTGGGAAAAAAATCTGCTTGGCATCCTCAGTGGAGGGTTAATGCCAGGTGCCAAGGTGGCATCCGCCAAGGCCCTTTTGTTTATGTGCTAGATCATTTGACCTAGAGCATTTTTACTAATCTAATACACACACTGTTCTTACTAAGACAGTTCCTTTCCTATTATTTGGGATGGAACTCGACTGGGAAATGAAATTATTAATTATCCTTCATGCTACTAACTATTTATGTTGCTTGTTTTTTTTGCAGGCTGTTGCACTGAAGATTGAACTAGAGAGAGAGCATGTACGTGGTACAAATGTGCTAAAGAATATGAACAATCGTGTGAAACAACTCCAGAAACAAATTCATGATTTCCGGGAGCAGTATATTCAATACACGCAGGTTACATTTTTGGCGTTTCTTTATATGCTTCAATTTCCATGCTGGTGGGGAAGTCGTTTAACCTCCTTACCAACTTATTTTACATATTCTAGGACTGGCTCTGCTGTCATTCTCATTTTTTAATTGAATGTAGTATTCATGGTTAATTTCTGAAATATGTTTGAAGACAATTTGTTAAATAAATTTTCCAGCAGACAATAGGAATCAATAAAAGTAGTTCATCTGTGTACAAATTCCAATTAAAAGGTCAATGCAAAGCACAATCTTTTCTGTATTGCATCATATCCTGGCACGCAGGTTATGTATCTTATTGACAATTGTGACTAGTCACTAGTCGTAAGGTGACAAAGAGGGTATTTGTATGCAATTTTATTTACCTCTTAAAAGAAAGTCTTTGATTTTTCATTTTTTTTACGGTTATTATAAAAAACGAAATAATCAGTAAAACTGCATACTACCTGTTCTTTAACATATGCTTCCAAGTGCCATGCCTCTTTATTATTTCTGTACTACCTCCTTCCAAAATATAACAACTTCTAGCTATGTATCTGGACAAGCGCATATTTTGGGACGGAGGGATTAGTATTTTGGCTGTACATTTTCCAGTTTTCCTATCGTATCTGAACCATTTCTTTGTTAAACTAAAGGATGAATCATCTAAAGCTGAGAACGACAAGTGTGAAATACAGAAGGAGATAAATTCTCTTCATTCAAATGTTACAAGGTAACTCAGTTATCCTTATACTTTAGCAATCCTACCATTTCCTGGTTGTGTGATTTTGCATAATGTGCCATTTAGGTTAAAAGAGGAAGAAAGAGGGTTGCATGAAACACAAATGGGCATTGTAAAATCCATCCAAAACATGGAAACAGAGGTATTTGTCATCCAATGTGGTTACCTCTTACCTCTTACTAGCTGGTGGTAATGTACCCTAAACAAGGTTTATTCATCTCATCTTACCTCACTATCTGGTGGTTATGTTCTCTGAGTAATGCGCTCTGTTGTATAGCCAGAAAGTCTGCTTTCCTCTCTGATATATTAAGCTCTTGAAATATTAACAATCTTGACACTATTACCTCATCTATATTATACTATGATTAAATCTGATTTCATTATTACTTAATGGCCTCTATTATCTTTTGGCCTTGTGAATATATACCTTGGATAATGGTATATGGAATATCTTTAACGGTGCGTTCTGATGTGAGTTTGGCTTTTGCAACTCCCTCGTTGCCTATGAACACACTTCGCAAACTGCTAAACAATGTGTTTTTTGAAAACAAAATTATATAGAAGTTTCCTTAAAAAAAATCAAATAAACCCATTTTGCAAGTTTGCAATAATTAATAACACTCAATTAATCATGTGCTAATGGCTTGCCTCAGTTTGCGTGCCACGGAAAATCCCACTTGAAACGCACTACCGAACTCAGCCTAAGTCATACTACTTCTCAGTCATTTGTTGTACTTCTTTTTAGTGCTAATTAGTGTTGTTGAGAAGCTACTCGTAGAGTAGGATGCACATAACAAAACCTCTTTTTGTATATGACATTGTCTTATTTACACGATTGTGACATGGCCCATAAGAAATGTTGATTTCTTTTTTCTAAATGTTTTTTACGGTGATAACTTTAATGTTGTGCGATAGTACATTTACATGAGAGCACTATCTTGTGAGCTGTTAAACCTGCAAGCTCATTCAGTTTCAAGCTCATTGGGCTTTGGTTTGTATCAACTACCTTTTGAAGCTGTCTCCCTTTAATGTTTGTGTGAAGAATCATCGTTTATAAAGTTAGAATTATGTGCACCATATGAAGTTCACAAGGAATTCCATGTTTTTCTGTATTTTGACCAACTTTTGTCTTTGGACCATGTTGGTCTTTGTCTACAATATTTTCCAATATGTGTTATTTTGCAGATAGTTGAAAACAGAAAGAAGATTACTCAATTTAAAGCTCACATTCGTGATCTTCAACAACGTCAATCTGATAAGGTCCTTTCTGATTATAACCCTGTTTCCCAAGCATAATTTTTAGTTGTAGATATTTTGTTAGCACCTTATTTATATGCTACTGGTGCTATACCTCAGGTATCAACATTTGGGGGACAGAGAGTTCGGAACCTCTTGAAGTCAATAGAAAGACAGGAAAGAAGATTCAACATCCCGCCTCTTGGTCCTATAGGAGTTCATGTGGTATGAAAGTTCTGATTATCTTCATTCTAGCACCATGCTGGTTAGCATTGATTACTGTTGGTTATTAGTAGTATCATGTAAAGTATTTCCTGCAGTTGATATATTATTGGACACTTGCTTCCAATCTTATTCAGTGAGGTCTTTTACCTTACTGTACTATTTTTATAGGATGCCCCTCAGATCTTGTCATCTTCTTTCCATTATTTATATATCCATGACTTAGGGTGGCAGCCAAATTACTCTTTCTCAGCATGAGATCAATGCTGTTCCCTTAGTGAAGCTTCATATATTACTAGCAAGTATGTATACACCCTAATTTATTAGAAGAAACATGTGTGTTGTGTGACAAACAAAAGGGTTGCAGGATGCCAGTTTCCTTCTAAATTCCATAGGAACGAGTTCCACATCCCATTAATCATATCTGGGTTGATGAATTGGATATGTGGTTCACATGGTTGTGGCAGGTATGGTTACTGGTACCCAAGCATAGTTCGGGTGTTAAACGCACTATTCGGAACTTTACCACGTGTGACCCACCTTGCGGGAGGGGGTAGCAAGGGAAAAAAGGATCAGAGATGACATGTCTGCAATTTGGGGTGGCAGATGGCAGGGTCACTTCTTGCCACCCGAAGTACCCAAACCATTGCCATTTGGAATGTGTGTCTCCATTGAGGGAGGAATATGTTAGAGGATGAGATGGCCTGAGTGTGATTAGTGTAAGGTGGTTGGGAGTCAGGACGAGGTGAGCTGAGTGACTGAATAGCCCATATATCTTCTTTCCCTTGTCTGTACTTGTGGTTTTTTTGTTAACATGCAATCTCTGGTACACACGGTGTTGCCTTGGTGCCCATGCCATAGCTAGGTGCCTCACCTCATCTTACCTCCTGCTTGACGGCTGACGCCATGACCGTGGTGGCAAATCTGGATTTCATTTTAGTATCTCCTGTTACGGTTGAACTCATTTGGACACTTCAAAATCTGCCTTCAGTATGGACTGCTTGTTGCATCTTGATCTAAGAGATTTAATTATCATTTCAGAAGTGCAATTTGATTATTTTTTCTTCTGTTGATATACTCCCTCTGGTCATAAATATTTGATGTTTAGGACAATATTCTGTCAAAATTTTGAAACTCTGACCATCATTTCTATGTTGGTATAAGTTTATAAACTATAATAAGTAGTACTTTCCAAGGCAAATCCATGCATACCACTTTTCTTTTGTTTTTATAAACCAAGCATTTATAAGAAGTTATTGATGGTGAAAGTTTGAACAAGTCTTGTCCTTAACATCATATATCTATTATTGGAGGGAGCACTATCATAGTTGAATTTATCCTACTTGTTTCAACCTTAATAATGCCTCTTGTTATGCAGAAACTGGCTAGCGAATCCTGGTCTTTTGCAGTTGAGTGTGCATTGGGGAGGCTACTGGATGCTTTTATCGTCTCCTGTCACAGAGATTCAGTCATTTTGCGGGAATGTGCGAAAGAAGTTAACTACCATAACCTTCAAATCATTATATATGATTTTGCGAAGCCAAGGTAACCATAAAATCTGTACTGTTTTCTTCAATGTTTTTTTATTTGATCTCTAATCAATATTAATTCTATTGGACTTTTCTTTAGACTGAACATTCCAGATCATTTACTTCCTTCGACAACACATCCAACAGTACTTTCAGTTATTCAGTCGGAAAATCCTACTGTGCTAAATGTTTTGGTGGATCAGGTAGTGCATTATCACTGTTAGCTTCTAATTATTCGTTTGGAAAATCCTACTGTGCTAAATGTTTTGGAGGAATGAGGTAGTGGATTGTTAGCTTCAGAGAACCATTCCAGTTCCAAACAAAAATTATCCAGCTATCCGATGTATAATAGCAATTAAGGTGGCAAAACTATTTAAGTAATTACAAGTGGATGGTATGCTTACCCTTTCAATGATGTACCATCAACTACTAAACATCTTTCAAATCCCCCAATGGATAAACTATTTCTATACTGAGATATATATATATATATATTTTGTAGAAGTCAATGTAGCTTCACCTTGTTATTTTTTTTTTTGGACATGTCAGTTTTGAATATTTCAATTTGCTGAAATCCTTTTCAGGGTAGCGCTGAAAGAACAGTCCTAGTTCGAGACTATGAAGTGGGCAGATCTGTTGCATTTGATAATAGGATACAAAATCTGAAGGACGTGTATACTTCCGATGGGTACAAAATGTAAGTCTCTTTGATGGTGCTCATTTTGGCATAGGTCATATACTACATTTTCTATGTTACACTAAGAGGCAATACTAGTGCGGTGATATGGGTTAGAGAATTTCCAAATATATGGATACACTGATACGTCTTAGTGTACATGTATTTCCTGATAAAAAAATATTGGGAATCCATGAGAGAATAGGAAATTGAGATTAACATAATGAACAATATGAGAGCAATAGTAAAAATGTGCAGCATCGACAGTAGAAATAGAGTGGAGTGTGATTTATCATTTTGATATTTTACTAGGTTTTTAATGAGGGGTTCCCTTTAACGAGTGATGATGCCCCTGTAGTTGCAAATTATCAAAGTTGCATCAGAGTACCCCAGTAGTAGACACATAAGATACAGGTAGTTCTTGTCTAAGAGAAAGTGCTTCCATATGACTTCAAATGTGTGTAATTGTCAAAACACCATCATAAAAGATGTTTAATATTGTTAGTTGTTTCAATTATTACGAAAGGATGACAAAATCATTAGGACTGGGAAATGGCCAAATGCCTCCCCTATGCTCTCATTGATTCTCCTCTCATGGGGTAGGTGGGCAGTGTGTGTGTGGCATGACATGGTGTTGTGGACAACCAATCAACCATGTACCTGTGCGGACAGGCATAGCATGTGCGTGTGCTGTGGGCCTGTGGCAAGTCAGTGCAGGGGGTTGCAGCGCTCTTGTTTGATTGTGCCTGATCCACAACAGGCCACTAGAGCATGAAATAGCCAGGATCTTGATGTAGAATATGTAGGCATATATCGGTCATCCAGGCTGAATGTACAAAGAATGAGTGGATTTAGGACTCCTTAGTTTCACCTGTTGTTCCTAATGTGCCTGACTGGGATGAGTTTTTTTTTAAAGTTTTATCATCTCATGTTGCCTTATGTTCCACCTCCTTCCCTATTATCTCCCCTTTCTGATAGCCCCTTGATTTAGGTATCTGTCAATTTGTCCTCACAGCCAGGCTTTGTTGCCTAATTTATTTCCCTAGGCAATGGCCATGAAAACAAGTTACCCCTTCTGCCGTAAGCGAGTTGCGCTTCTGCTCAAGCCTAGCTGAAGTACTGACAAGTGGAGTAGTGGACAGGAACTTGTCAGTTTTTTGAAGTTCAGGATTTTAGGAAAAAGGAAGCATCTTGTAAGTTAGGCTGAGTTCTTTTGTTGAAGTTCCCAACTCACCTCCCTCGTTTTTCGCGTGCACGCTTTCTAAACTACTAAACGATGCGTTTTTTGCAAAAAGATTATATATGAAAGTTGCTTTAAAAAATCATATTAATCCATTTTTCAAAAAAAGCTAATAATTAATTAATCATACGCTAATGAGTTGCTCTGTTTTGCGTGCGGAAGTAATTAGTTCCCAACAACAACCAAAGAACACAGCCTTAATGTTTGTGGAAGCATTGTCGATCAATGATTTCTCTAAATGAACACAGCTACCTTTTGGTTGTCCCTGGTGGCGTTTTACTGATGCTTCTAATTTTTTTGTAAACTTCTTTGAGAAAAGAAACGTTCATGCTAGGTAACATATTGTGTGCTTTTCTGGTGATCCTGTTTCCATTGATTGTAACATTCAGGTTTTCAAGAGGTCCTGTTCAGACCATTCTTCCACCACACAGAAAGGGAAATGCAGGTCGTTTGTGTACTTCACTGGGAGAAAAAATAGCTGAAATGGAATCAGAAATTGCTGACATGGAGAGAATAATCTCACAAAGGACTCGGGATATGAAGAAGCCAAATGATAAACGAGAAGATATCGAATTAAAAATAAAGAATTTGAAGGTAAAACTGATTGCTGCTCAGTTAATTTGTATTATGTTATAACTGTTTTTCCTTTCTTCAGAGAAAACGAGTAGAAGAGGAGCGTCTTCTTGAGAGCAAAAAAGTTCAATTGGATGACATCAGGAAGACTTCTGCTGACATTAATCGTGTTACATCGTCGGATACCAGTGAACTAGAGGCAGAAATGATGGTTTGTTCCCATTTCTCTCATTTCACTACATTGGTGTACTAATCTTTGTTATTATTGAGCTCAAATCTCATCAATTTCCTGATGCTACTTATCTTCTTCAGCAAGTGGAAGTCGACATTGAGCAGAAAGAATTGTTAGTGCAGAAAACCAATTTAAGGTTAACAAAAGCTTTGCAGGATGAGAATGACCGGAGAGCCTGTTACAAGGAATTCATTGGTATGAATAGAATTCCACCATATTACTCACATTTGTGCTGATTCTCAGTTGCTTAAAATTTCATTTATGCTTAGATTACGTGGAACAGAATAATGATGTACAGTTTTGTTGTAGAAACAACCTGTTTTTCCATTCTGAGGTTGTCATACTCTTGACATAATAAATGTACTTTCCTTTTTTTTTGCATTCCAGATGGTGTGTATAGGGAGGTGGGGCCTAGTAATGTTCTGGAGAAGGAAATAGAACGTGTTAAGGACAAACTACAAACAGCTGAGCAGGTGTACCTTTTCTTGTAAACTAGTATTACTCCTGCAATTGATATTGATGAGGTGTTTTGTACTTTTAACTGCCGTTGTTAATTTATTTTAGGGCCCCATCGTTTGGCTTTTCTTTTAATAAGCCAAAACGGCTTATTAGAAAATAAAAATAAATTTGTAGGTAAAACTTTTATATATGTGTTCTCGGTGACTTAAAAGCCAATGCTGAAAAAGAAACTACGTTGAAAATATCTCAAAATCAATGTCAAAATTAAGTTTAAAAATTCAAAATTTGGCTTTTTCTTTGGCTGAATAGGCCATCCGATGGGAGCCTTATTATATTGGTTATAAATACATCATGATGTATAATGCATTAAAAGAACTAAAAAATGTTGGGCGTGGAATTAAAATAAGTTAGCAAAACTAAATCACCTTGTGCTGCCTCACTATGTTTGTCATCAGAACTTAGCTTAGGAAATCCAACAAGCTGCTGCATTGTGAGCTTGTGTAGGTCCATCATTCCATGACATGTGATGTACACACTAGACACATGACAATTTGAGGGAGGACTGACTCTTAGCAGGGACAATGCATTTGGTAGAAAAAAACTTTAGGAGGAACTTCAGACTAATTCATCTTCTTGATTGATCTTGTGGTACCATGTGTGATTGATTACCCCTTAACAGGTTAATAAGTAGTTAATCTAATTTGAACAACCAGAGTCAACTAACTCGTTTATACCTAAAGAACTTTAACTAAAAGATAACCCTAACTTTTGGTGGCCATATCATATGGTAAACCTGGTAAGATGCTAGATTTTAAAGTCGTGTCGAATTGTCCCTCTTTTGAATTGCCTGCCCCCCTTCCACTCAGTAATAGTGGGTCTGGTGCACCTGGCCTCCCAAGAGGCCCAATTTGCTCCTAGCGAATCAATGTTGCTTCCTTTGCTCCATAGCGTCATCTGCTGCCAACAAGTAGAGCCGTGACCCTTAAAGACATGCCACTTGGCTGACTAAGTCCAGGATTGGTTGTTGTCTAGTTTTTCTTGTGTTAGTGCATGTGTGTAGTGGCATTAGCAACTTGCAAATTCTGTGCCAAAATTTGCAGCATTATTTTGTCAAAATATGATACTAGGGCTTTGACCATAGTCCATCTATCCCCTTCTTTGGAGCTAACTGCATGATTGCTTCTCCCATTGTGGAAAATAACTGACTTTGAATTTATGTTAGGCCTCTAGCTTGTAAGTTTTTCATATTGAAACTCTAGCATGTAAGTTTGCCTATTAAATTTACTTTATTAGTTCTTGTTTCGTTGAATATTTTAATTTTACCAGGGCAAGGCTTACTATGAAGGTATAATGGAAACTAAAGTTTTACCTGATATTAAAATTGCTGAAGCAGAGTTTGAAGATCTTCAGAAGCTTCAGCAGGTTCTTTTTTTTTCACTGACAGCAATGATCATTTTAATTATCATGTTATGCTTGCACCATTGGAATATATTGCATTTAAGCATTTTAGTTTGGTACCCTTATAGTTGTTCCACACAGAACTCCTAAGCAAGAAACAGTGTTCTGTCACACTTGTAAATTGTAACGGTCACAAAGCTTGCCTTGTAAACTGCTGTACTTCAAGCAATAACATAAAATGGGCAGTCAAATCTTGGGTTAACATTCGTTATGATGATGCATGGCTTCTAATGTTTCTTTAACTTTTGTCAAGAACTTAACTACATGATATATTCTGTTTATTGTTTGACTTGAGTACTTCAAATGACAAGAAGAGAATGGGCTGATTTATCTCACTTGTCCATAGGTTCAATGATGATTTTTTTTTTTCTGTAGGAGAGCTTCAAGAAGGCATCAATTATATGCTCTGAGAGTGATGTGGAAACTCTGGGAGGTGTGGCTGGATCCTCACCAGAACAACTAAGTGCTACGATAAATAAATTGGAACTGAGATTTCATAAAGAAAGTAGCAGGTCTGGAGCTAATTTACCTTGTCATTTCTGTACTAATAATTTACGACTTGGTCATGATGTTGTGCTACACCCAACCCACCACTAAGGGGATTTTTTTGTGGACTTCTTTTTTCACAAAAAAATACTACTCTGAACACTGTATTTGCAGTTGTTAATTTACCTGATATGATTTAAATAGAGTAATTACACTTTGCACTGGGTAAAGTGCACCTTGTTTCGCTTTGCACCAGGTTGAGCATATACTTTCATTCACACCAGGGTCTATTCATTCAACTTTTATTTAACACCAGAATACATACTCAAATCTATGGAAGTTTCATGAAATTTGAATGGAACCTCGTAAAACATGGTTTAAATTTAAAAAGCCTCATAAGTTGCACTCATATTATATAATATTTCTCTTTAATCATATGATGTGATGTAGTACAAAGTGAAACTTATCGCAATATACTCTGGTATATAGTGAAAATATGTACTAAACCTGGTGCAAAGTGAAACAAGGAACACTCTACCTGGTGAAATGTGCAAATTACTCATTTAAATATGCACCTTTTTAGTTTCAATGTTTTTTTGTATCTTTTAAACCTGTGTGACATAATATTTTATGATAAATTCTGAGCAGATATACTGAGTCCATTGATGATCTGAGAGCATTGCATATCAAGAAGAAAGAGAAAATTGAAGATAAACAGCAATTATATGCAGGTTTTAGGGATAAGTTGAATGTAAGTATTTACTTAATGTTTATTTTCCTATGATGTCTGATTGCATTCAAATTTTGAGCTATCTGTATGCTCATCTTGCTGCTCCAACAATTTATACACTGCTCAGAATTCTTGACCTTAATCCTTACCATACAAGTGTGGATTGTGATTTTCTACATGGCTGGATAATCTCTTTGTACTTGTAGCCATTATTCAAATTTGGTTTAGTATGTGCATTATTCGATTTCAGCTCACAACTTCCATATTATATATTTAACAAGCATCATGTGTGCGGGTTGCAACAGATGCCAAAAGAAAAAGTTCATTTTAGTCCCTTAAATTATTTCATTGGATCACTTAACCCCCTAAACTATTTTTTCTGCTCATTGTACCACCTAAACTATTGAAAATGATTCACTTTACTCCCTACTAACATTTCTCATTTCTCTCTCTTTCTAAAGCACAATTTTGTAGAGCCTTAGAGGAAACCAATTGCAAAGTTCAAACATATATTCAAATTTTTTCATTACTATTTTCTTGAACTTTTGAACTATGTAAAGAGTGATAAGTTCTAGAAAAATGTTTGAGTCATAAGTTATAATACATCTATCATCATACGAAATTTTAGTGCAAAATATTACTCCCTCCGTTTCATATTATAAGTCTTTTGACTTTTTTTCTAGTCAAACTTTGTTAAGTTTGACTAAGTTTATAAAAAATCTAGTAATATCTAAAATATTAAATTAGTTTCATTAAATCTAACATTTAATATATTTTGATAATATGTTTGTTTTGTGTTGAAAATACTACTATATTTTTCTATAAATTTGGTCAAACTTAAAGAAGTTTGACTAGGAAAAAAATCAAACGACTTATAGTATGAAACATAGGGAGTACTTATATAGGGAGAAACAAAAAAGAGAAATATCGTTAGGGAGTAAAGTGAATTATTTTCAATAGTTTGGGGCGTAAAATGAGTTGACAATAGTTTAGGGCATTAAATGATCTGGCAAAATAGTTCAAGGGAGTAAAATGGACCTTTTTTCAATATTAAAATACAAAATATTCTCATATCTGAAGAAAGGTGTGCAGTATACTTCATGATATCAACTAATTATTACCCACATATATGCATCAATGCTTGCGTAAACATAACATATGCCTACACATATTAAGTCACAAATGGTTGTGGTTCAGGATGGGTGAGTAGCACACCACACTCCCTTCTATAATGGGAGAAAAGGATTTCTTGGCACATTCAAATATATAGAAGTTCTGTTTGAGATATGAGCTAGACATGTACAATGCTGCCTTTTTTGGATCTTTTTACATTCAATTTTACTTTTGTTGCAGTCGTGTCAAAAAGCTTTGGACATGCGATGGAAGAAATTTCAGAGAAATGCTGCTCTTTTGAAGCGACAGCTTACGTGGTTGTAAGTACTAACTTTTCTTACTTGGATGTTTATCGTCGAACTTCAAAATAAGACTTTGCTTTTCCTATCCATACATAAAAATACTCAGACCTGAGAATCCTACCACCTTTACATTGTATTTAAGGTTCAACGAGCACCTAGGGAAGAAAGGGATAAGTGGGTTTATCAATGTTGATTATAAGGAAAGACTTCTGTCTGTCGAGGTGAGGTTCTCACAAGATTCTCTCTTATTCTCAACATGTTTACCTCAATGTGCAGTGAACATAAAACCTTGCAGTGATGGCTGCAAGTTTCTGTACTCAATTTGTTCTGGAGCAATTTAGTTAACTGTTTGTGGTCAATTTTTATGTAGCTCACGATGCCTCAAGATTCTTCTCGTGACACAATTACAGACACCAGAGGACTTTCAGGTACCTACAGCTTCTCTTAGCCTTAGAGCCTGTCATGATAGGGTGGAGTCAGATCCAAATCCTTAGAACTAGGTCCCAATAATTCCCTGATCAAACTCCCCCAAAACCACCCCCACCCATCCGTCTGTGCTTACTGTTTTTATACCATCTTTGAGAATTATATAATTCTCGCTCAAACTCTTGCTCTTAGGTGGAGAAAGATCATTTTCGACACTGTGTTTTACCTTGGCTCTTCACGGAATGACAGAGGCTCCTTTTAGGGCCATGGATGAGTTTGATGTATTCATGGTAAGCAACCCCTATGATCTTCGGGAACCTGTTTGCTCAGTTAATGACAGATCAAACTTATTACCTGTGATGTTTGAATTGTTCAGGATGCAGTAAGCCGCAAGATAAGCCTAGACACCCTAGTAGATTTCGCCGTCACGCAAGGATCACAGTGGATATTTATAACACCACATGATATCAGGTAATTTGTCAGAACCATCCGTGTGCATTCTTCGGGGTTATGTTCCTGTTTGTCACGTAATTAATCAGCTGTTGACATTTATCATTTTGTCAGCATGGTGCAACCTGGAGACAGGATCAAGAAGCAGCAAATGGCTGCCCCACGCGGTTGACATCAGTATGTTCAGCGCCTTGTATATATATATATATATATCGTATCCTTTTGGCGAACATCAGTATGCTGCCCGATGTTTTTGGAGCCGCTGGTTTGTTATTGATCATGTTGTAAGCCGCTGGTTTTTGGATAAGCTTATCTTGGCGCGACTGGATCACGGTCTTGTTCTCTGGTACCATTACTTGTATGGCTATTTAAACATGAAGCATCGTTAGTACCTCGGAGGCTGCAAAACACACGCGGTTCTGTCTTTTTATGTCGTCAGATAATATAGTTCTTGTAGCTGTTTTGATTGTCCAGTCTCTACAATTGGCCGATGCATCAAGCAGTAGCAACGCTTCGTTTCTTTTTGGTAAGAGTTGTCAAATCAAAATGGAAATGCAACAGCAATTGCCGCTTGGTGATAACAAAAAAGGAGCTGATCTATATAATATCTGACGCTAAGCTCTTGCTTGAAGTCATCGGATGTTAGTGCTAACAAGCTTGCTGGTGTAGGACTGTAGGGCAATTTCATTGGCTACTTGCGGATCACACGATTAGCACCCCATAATTAGTGATACGTGTACGTTAGCAAATTCTCAACTGCGAAATTAATCAAACTTTCACCAAACTTTTGTATCGGAAAATTTCTATGTAGAAATTGTCAGATATAAACCTCATTTAGGCTGTGTTATTTCCTTATCTTTTTCAACTGCTACTTTCTCGTTTTTTCGTCAGCTATAAACCTCATTTAGGCTGTATTCTTCCCTTTCTCAACCGTTTTTCGTCTTTCATGCGCATGCTTTTTAAATTGCTAAAGGTAAGTTGTTTTTTAAAAGCAGTTGTATTGAAAAGTTATGGTAAAATTCATATTAATCCATTTTGCTAATTAACTGATAAAAAATCATATTAATCCATCGTACAAAATCATATTATTAGCAAATTTTCTATTGGAGCAAAACAGATGATTTTTTGCCAATTAACTGACAAAACTCTTTCAGAACTTGAAAACACTTATAAAAATAGTAGGACGTTCTTATGTGTAAAGTTTTAACAAAAAATCACTAGCAATAGTCTTTCTATGTACAAAGTTTCGAAAAAAACACTAGGAATTGAAATGCAAGAAAAGCTCCCAAGCGCATGCAATTTATTATTTACTAGAAAAAATGCCCGTGCGTTGCAACGGGTATTCGGAAGAAATTAAATATTTAGCTACTTCAAAAATTCAGAATGTTTCTGTCCCAATCGATTGTCCCTCCCTTGCCCTTTGTCAGTCACACCCGTGCGATGAACTTAGAGGGACGAGTAGCTAGGTCTGACCGAGCCTATAACTGGACTGTTTCCAAATTCCCAACTTGAGCACGAAGGAAAAAGAAGAACTTTGATCTATCAACAAATTGGACTCTAATCTATTCAAATAAAATCAATAGAGAGATCCACATGGTCGCGACACAAAAAAATCAATAAATTGTAGCTGAAATTGTGCGAGGAGTGCGAGTGACAATGGGCGTGGGCATGTAAACAGACACGCGGGGGAACCGATCAAAGATATAGCTGGGGACTCGGCACATGATCGTGATAAATATATTATATTGTCATTGATCGATCTGAGTTTTGAATTGAGTTTTTTTGGCGTATTTTGCTGCCGTACGTGTGTATGCATGACATGACTGAAGGTCTGAAACATGTATACATATCGCTTTGTGTCAAAACAGGGATCGGACATGAGGAAACTAACCAAACTAAAGAAAGTATAGGAAAGGTAATAGGGGATCTGCGGGCTTGTGGAGAGAACGAGCTGCGGCCATGATGACCAGCAAGCGCGCACATGATGACGCATTGCTTTCACGCGGGAATCGGACAGCTGCGGGCACGCGAACGGCTTCCTCCTAATTTCTACTGTAATTCAGACGAAGTACCAAGCTTTAAACAAAAACATCTTTAATTTTTATAATAGTAGAGATTACCCTCATCCACTAAATCTCATTCCCTATATTAGTATTCTTCAATAATTTATTGATCTTTTTACAGTTAGCATGGTAAGAGAATGTATTTTTTATTGAAAGGCTACTGCTATTTCAGCACTTAGCCATGCCAATTCCATCCATCTTCCTTATTGAAAATTTGGAGGAGACAGGTCCCCGACGTTTGATGTTTGCAAAATATCAGATGGTGTTTCATCGCATGAAAAAAATATTTTTAGTATTTCATCACTCGGTAGAAAAAGGTTTTAGCAAAAAGAATGTTTCAAGTGTTTCATCACTTGATAGAAAATGTTTCAAGCAACTTGCAATATTGAGAAAAGCTTACTGTAACACCAAGACTCTACTATATGCAAGATATATATTTTCTTCATTAGAATATAATCATTTAATATATTATTGTAAAGATTTAATTTTAACAAAAAAAAATGGTGCAATCATATCAAAATTGGAAAAGAAATGTAAAAGAAATATCATTTAAAGTTGTTTAAAGTTTTAAAACATACAGTGTGCAAGTGTGCGTATGATGCTCGTGCATGAATTCCCTCCACGTGAAACCTGCTCACGTCTGTCCCCTGCATGCACCTATACGTTGCACTCTAGTGGTGGGTCGTCCGCATATACCGAGTAAGCAGGCAATACACCATTATATTCGTGAGGTTTCGATAAAATGCTGCACACACTATGATGCACTAGATAAAATGCTACTCGGTACATTATCTTGTCGTTATTTTGCCAAATTTAACTATTTTCTTCATTTCTCCCATGCATGCAAGATGACCAAAATGTCCTTGGCTGTTAGCCTAAACAGATCGATCGATCCCATTCTCATCTGTACTATGTTCCTTCTTTCTCTAGAATTTAAACTATTTACCATCAAATTCGTGTCTCAATTTTTTTACCGCTCAATTCACATGTCCTCTATAATATATCATTATAATTGCTAATTAGTCTATTTGGTATCATTTTCTCTGTTTTCCATGTATTACTTATTTCTTAATCCCATTTGTATATTTTTTGCAGGTTTATGGACATTTTTGCTCTTGGGCTTACCTGTCAGATCCAAAGCGAGAAATCTCTCTCTGGATCGAATCGGTCAATCCTTCCTCCAGGCTGAGCACCGAGCGCCACCAGCCACCAGTGACGCCACCACCCCGCCGCCGTCGCCCCCCCCCCACCGCGCTGCTCCACCCCACCACCGCATCGCCGAGCGGCGCCGCCCCACCACCCCGCCGCCAGGGTGCGCCACCGCCCCGGCCGCCACCCCAGCTCGTCGCCCCCACCACCGCGCCGCCGAGCGGCCGCCACCAGGGTGCGCCACCTGCCCCGCTGCCCGAGGTCGACACCCCCATTGCCTCCACCGCCTAGTGCCACCGGCATCGGCACCCCCGAGCGCCACCACCCCGCCGCCACGCCGAGGAGAAAGACGGGCGCTCCGCCACCAACGCCGAGCGCCGGCACTGGATGAGCAGTCTCCAATAGCATTTTAGAGTTTGGATGAGCTCCATCGGCACCTCTAAAAGCATGTATCTGTAACATACATTTTTGCAAATTGTTGTACAGTGGTGATCTAAAAGCATGTATCAATTTTTTGACTGTAAATACATTGATCAATTGTTGACAGGATTTGGCAATATTGCCGGTTACCTGAAATGATGATATAAAATGTTCAGTTCTTGATGATATAAAATGCCTGTCATTTAACTACATGAGTAACACATCAGCATATTGTCATCCTCTGAGACCATATGCTTTCTGAGACCATATAGTACTTTCTGTGAATCCATATGGAATCTGCCTGTGCTTGGTAGATCAATGGGGGAGATAACATAAATATGAATGACTTATAGGAAACATCAGAAGCTGTTTCATGGCAATGGTAGAATACAGAAGGTATTTCTTTTTCACAATGTCGATATTGCTATTTTCATACAGAAGAGTAGAGCTACTTAAAGAGCTTCTAACTGATCAAATTTGCCTATTGTACTAGACTAGATTTTTCAGTTTATCAGACTGTTTTACATCATGAGACATGTAATAGGAAAAATAGGTACCAGGACTAGTGCAAGTAGAATCACTTCTTGCGACTATTTTGTCGTTTTGGTGTGCTAGGGCCTGCTGCACCACTAGTTGAGCCTAGTGGCCTTCCTTGTTTCACACGACTCTTCCTGAAAATGTAAAACAAGTAAATAGATAGACAATATGCTACAATAAGTAAATAAATGTATGATTTTACCTTTTTTTCTTGGTACCATTTAAAGGACATTTTGAGGATGATGACCTATGTCCCATGGCAAGACACTGAACCTGCCACTTGCCTTCGGTCCTGGGCTTGCTTTGTCCTTTCTCAAGGCATCCAACTATTCTATTCTTCCTTTGCCTCCCTACTCCTTTTTTAGTCAAAGGTGGCAACAACTTGAAACCAATATTAACCTTGGGCCATTAAGACTTACCTGGAAATGGTTGAATAACACCTGTATGTGCAAGCTTATACTTTTGCACTGAATAGAAGGGATCCAGATAATCAGCCATTCTAGGATTTCTATGTGATTTAATCAGAGCTAATGCATGTGGGCATGGTTTCCCAAAAACTTGCCACTCTCTGCAGGTGAATGTATGTTCTGTGAGATTGACTGCGTGCCTAATAATGTCTTGTTCAGGAGTGATCACTGTCACCTCTGCCTGGTAAGTGGCCCAAATTTCTAGTCATCACATTCAGTTGCTGAATTACAATAGGGAGCATCACACCATCCAATTTATGACCTATCTTCCTCCTCCTAGCCAGTAGATCCATTGTCTTTGATCTGATGCCATCTGCAAGCTCTGCAATTGGAAGATCTTTCTTTTCCTTAATCCATTTGTTCCATGACTCTGCTAGATTATTGATGATGAAGTCACATTTTATGTCTTCTGAGAATTTGCTCCTCATCCAAAGCAGATTATGATATGTTTCCAAATATGGCTTCACATCTGAATTTGCCTCATGAATTTTATTCATGTAATAGTCATACCTATCTGGCAGGGTACATGTTTTCAAAGACTGGACCATGAAATTTCTTTATGAAATTCTGCATCAAGTGCCAAAAACATTCCCTATGCTTAGCTGAAGAGAAAACAAATTTCACGGCATTCTCTAGCCCCTTACAAGCATCTGAGATAATTGCTAAGGGTGATTGATCCCGTATTGCCTTATGAAGCTGCTGCATAAACCAAGTCCAATTATCAGTGGTCTCACTTTGAAAGAATCTAAATGCAACCAGAAACATCTAGTTGTGTCCATCTATGGATGTAGCAGAAGCTAAATGACCATTCCAAGCTCCATTAAGTGCTGTTGAGTCTATGCTCAAATATGGTCGACATCCATTTATAAAACCATCAATGCAAGATTTGAATGCACAAAAAAATCAATGAAAATAAACCCATCATTATTCTCCGGTACATCTATCTCCACAACACTTCCTGGCATTTTCAGCTCAACCTCAGCCTTGAAGTTGAACAAATATGCGAAACTCTCTTCCCATGACCCAAAAATCTTTTCTAAAGCCTTATGCCTACCTTGGCACACTGTATGGTATCATATTGTGCCGTTGTATGCGGTCTCTAACTCCTCTTTCAACTTCGTCGGACCCATATTTGAATCCTTCTTCAAAAAAGGAATTGCCTTCTCTGCCACCCACTTATATGTTGCCATCTTGATCTTTACTCTGCCAGTTGATGAACAAGCATGGAGAAATTTATTTAAAGCAACCTACAATAAAATATAGATTACTTAGTACCATGCCACAATTATTAAAAACAAACAAGAATTTAAAGTACGATACAAATCTAAGTTGTTGTTAGTACTACAATAGATTTTCCATCTGGCATCAAGCTTGCCACAATAGCCCATGGACATCCCTCAGCCTTGCAAAAGCCTCTGAACCTTTCTTTATCACTCGACTTTGTCCCCATCTGAAATTGCCCCTTTATAGCGTGTTGCCACACAGCTGATTTAAACTCAACTATACTTACATATGAACTTCCAACTTCTATTGGAGGGTCATTCCTGTCATAGAAAACTTGAGATTCACCCGGAACAACATCAGTAACAACAATGTCAGTCTCATTGTCCAAGTCCCCTTAGGCATGACCTGTGGCATGACCTACAGATGGACTAGGTGTCATGTCCGATCTCCAAACTATCCCAATCTATAGCATCACCTTGCCTGGCTGTAACAACCTCATCCATGACTGTCTCATTAATCTCTGAAACAGAAGAGCTAGTAACAAGCTGAACAGGTTTGTCCACCACATCTACAAATAGAACTAACCTCCTCTGACTCTTCCTAACATAGAATGCATGCACTAGATCCATATTGTCAGTGAAAGTGTCATATCCACACACAACCACCCGCTGGCACCTACCCCAATTTATCCTAGCTGCAAAGTCCTTTACCAAGACCTCTAATGTGCATTGACGGTAGTCCACAACCCATTCCTCATATTTGTGGGGTACATGAACAAAACTACCATCATCAAGCTTAGCAGTGAACTGACTTGTAACATACCCGAATTCTAGGTCTTAATAATTTATTGTCAAAATAGTTAGAAACTAACTTTTGCAATTTTGAGAGGCAAAAATTGCTACTTTAACCTAGGTGAGGTCAACTTAACTTGTACTTAAATAAAAATTTGAGAACAAATTAAAACCTTTTCATTTTCAGCCTAGGACAAAAAAAATGCAAACAAAAATGTGTACATGCATATGCATTTAGCATTAGTTTGATTTGAGTCTTTTATGTGCATTTGGATTTTGGTTTGCATATCATGTTAGGTTCATGAACATGAATAAAAGGACAACTTCACTTGTGACATAATTATATGGACATGAAAGTGAAGTCAAATAATAACAACTCAGTTCAAGTCAAGTCATAACATAAGTCTTTACAAACATTTAGATGCATTTATATAACGAGAACACTTATATAAATAAACGCCTTGCGAATTATTGAAAATAATTTGTGCAAGGTAAAATCATGGAAAAATTCATGTAGTCTCTACTCAACACATAAAGTTCACTGTAATTTTAGTCAAATTTTAACACTTAGGATGATACCTCAAATAAATCAGTCAAACCAATTAAATGATAGACTAATTATAATCCTTAATCGGCTAAAGCCTACCCTCACCATTATGTGCATTAAACTACATAGAAGTGCATAGGGAAAATAATTTATTCAAATACTAGGTTATTTATCATGAATATTTATAATTTTTCCAGAAATTATATACTCTGTTTAAATCTTCTAAAAATTCAAACAAAGTTCTACCGAGCCCATCTTCTCCAATTTTCTGAGAGCAAACCACATAAAATTTTTAAGAGAAACAAAAGAAAATGGAAACTAGGTATCTTCATCTACCTCCAGAAAAATCCACATGAATTTATCATGCCCACAAATTAAACTATAGATTAACAAAGAGAGGAGAGAGATTTAAATCCTGAAAATTGTCCAAAATCGATAACACCCAATCTCCTGCCCACCTCTCTCACTCCAGACTTGTTCCCTTCGCCCTGGACCCACTTTCAGCCCGACAAGCTCGCTCCACCTGAGTACATGATGCCCTACTGCTCCAGCCATCCGAGAGAGAGACCGAGAGCGAGAGAAAACGGAGCCGACCGTGGTCTGGACAGCACAGCTCGCCTACTCCTTTCCCAGCATCGCCGTCTCCCATCACTCTCCACTCCACTGCCAAGGAACCAAAGCTGAGAGCTCCATCTCGTCCTCCTCGCCTTCCTCTCCATCGTCGGCCACCGGGAAGGACGCGTTGCCGTTCGTCGTTGAGCTGTGCTCGCCGTCATATCTTCCACGTTCCTTATTCAATCATCATACCGAAGGTTTTACCTTTTGACCTCACCCTCTCTCGTGCAGCGGATCATTGGGAACGCCATCATGCCCACGGGAGCTCCAGAGCGCGCCCGGAGCGCCGCCGCCACGACCTCGTAGCTGCCCCGGCTGCTGTGGAGCGAATCCGGCCGAGCCGTCGCGCCAACATCTTCCCCTCGAGGTCCTCTCCAAATGCCCTCAAGAATCCCCAAGATCTGAGCACCGAGGAGAGAGATCAAGCTATTCTTCTCCAAGTCAAGCCGCTGAGCTCCATCATTGGTTCCTCTTTCTCCGGTGAGCTCCAAGTCGATTCCGTGCACACATAGATTTCCTAGGACATCTTTAACATGGGAGACATACATGCATGGCAGTTCTTGTAGTGAGTCAAGCCGATGCCGTTCATCCGAGAAGGAGCGCCGTCGCCGAGCCGTTCCTAACGCCGTCGTCGACGACCAAGCTTCGCCAACCTCGTCCAATACTACTCTGAGCACCCTGGAGCTTCTAGAGTTGCATGCATGCATTTTATCCACCTAGATCCGGCCCCTAACGTGACATGCATCACTACCTCGAGACCCACCGCCACTCGTGCCGCCGTCGCCATTGATTCCGGTAACCACAGATCACGATAAGACCACCATTGGCTTCGCAAAGAACCCCTCTTCCTTTTCTCTTTTGGTTTCATGCCGAGATCTGCCACCGTTCGCCGCCAGCAAGCTCGAGAACGAGCTCAGCCATGGCTAGCTCTGTTTCAGCTCGAACCAGGGACCTCTGTGGAGAAGAAACAAAACTGTATGTACTACCTTGTAAAAACTACCACACTCATGGAACAGTCACAGGACTGCGGATTGATTACCTAAAAACCCAGGGACGTTTTGCATATTGGTCTATCACTGACAGGTGGACCCCATGAGCTTAAAAATCTGAAAATCTAAAGAAAACCCTCTAGAGCTTTATATTTTTAACAGAAAAACATGCAAACTTGTAAAATTCATATAAAATCAAATATAGCTCATTTTGAGATGATTCAAGTTTCTGTGAACTCATAGAAGGATGAACTTTAATATGGAAACATAAAACTTGGCACTTGCAGTATAAATTTCACCTCTAAAATTTATCTAAGAAAAACTATACATAAAGCATGCACAAATTTACAAAATACATAGAGAATTCATTTCAACTTAAATTGAAGCAAACCCAACTTCTACAGATTCGTCAACTTATTCTCTAAGGTAAAATAAAATAAAAATATGCACTTGCTTTACACCAAATACCTCTAAATGCATGTTCTACAAAATAACTAGTTTTAGATAAGCTGAAATTTAAAAATTTATATAAAATTCATCTTACTTCCTTTTTGAGTAAACTCAAGTTCTGTAGAATCATCAAGATTAGCACTTCTAATATTTAAAATAAAATTATATACTTACAGTGCAATAAAAGCCCCTAAATATTTATATAAGGAATAAACAACATATATCACCCTTCAACTTGTAAAATTTGTAGAGAATTCATCTCTAGTCCAAATGGAATGAACCAAATTTCTATAGAACCAGCAACTAATTAAATTCAATTAGGTAAAATAAAATGTCTTCAATACTAAATATATCACTAAACTTTAAGTAGATAACTTAAGTGCTAATCACATGCTATTGGTTAGGCAATACATATATATAAATGTATAAATGCACTCTAGCTCTAAGTAACCAAAATAAAACTTGATGGACCAGAGAGGTCATAGTTTCATCCCTAACCACCAAAAACTTAGCACACTTAGCTCATATATCAATTTCTTGGTTGGTATGTTAAATAACTAACATAGAACACTCCCCTAGCTTATAAAATGTGCAGTAGAGTAATATAATCTCTAAAATTATGAACTAAGATTATATTGGTTAACAAAATTAGTCATTTTATACATATCAAATAAGATGGAACATGTTCTGGACATAAAACTCCAAAACCATGTACACATAGAAGCTATATACCTACAACACGTTACAACTTGTAAAATACATAAGAAATTCATAATAACTCTAAAAGTTGTGAAGCCAAATGTGTTAATCGTAGAAAACATATCTCTACACCCCTGAGAAGTCGAACCTAATAAAAATCACTTTGCAAAAATATTTCATAACACTACCTAAGTAAATACCACTCTATACCGAGTAAACTTCTAAAATTCACAACTCACAAATAAAAAGAGATAAAATATAAATTCTTTCACCTAAATTCATCTTAGACCAGTACCTACCCACTGTGCACAAATCATGCATTTTAGAACATTTTGAATTTTTTACCTATTCTGGTATTTAATTGCATAACTTGTTCTTTATATAGATAATTGCATAAGCGGTGAAGAAGTGAATTAGGTGCTAACATTTCCCAGGAACAAGGCAAGTTTTCTCGTCCCAATCTTTGATCACATTGAATCCCATGTTTTGAGGAATGAAAATATTTGTTTGCAAAGTTGCATATGAATTTAGACTATAACGGTATTTGAAACTTGGTTATGGTAGCTATGACCTAATTGCTGCATTTACTTCTTTGAATAATTGTGATCCTCACTGATTGTAACCTTAGAAATGGTTAGGGTACTTTCAAAGTGCTCAATTGGGTTTATACATACTTACATAAAAGCCCTACGCGTAGCCATGCCTAGTAGTTGCTAAATAACTTCATGATCACTTTTTAAATGAGAATTTGGGAAGTATTTTCACTGCTGGACAGAGGTGAATATCTCTGATATTTGTGAATTAAAATGTGTAAAAGTGTGATTTTAGACCTGGACGGCAAGTGGTATGCATATGGTGTTAGTTGCATACCGATAGGGGGAGTGCTCGCCCTAGTCAATTAAGGACCGAACTTTGTGTCACCATCTAAGTATACCGTGCAACCACATGTGCTAGGAATGGGATGGCCTTAGCTTATTAAGTTGTTTAATGTCTAACCTTGCATTGGGAAACCGTAGTAGTATGAATTACTCGAAATGATGGTTTATAGGAGCTACCTAGTGCGGTTGTGCCTAGATGTCTAAGCGTGTGCAATATAACGGTTAAGTGCCTTGTGGAGGAACGGATGTGTTCACTGCCACGGCGCTAGGGATGGCGAGGGCCCCCCGACCTAGCGGCACTTGGGTTGCTCCTCATGTGGATAAACACTTGCCGTGCTCGTGCAAGGTTAGGCATTAGGCAATGTAAAGGCTTCGTTATGACCTCTAGACCACATTCAACGTGAAGAATGTGGTAGAGTCTTGCAAACTCGAAACAAACTAGAGTGTTCATATCATGTGGGTAAAGTGTACAAACTCTGCAGAGTAAAAACTAATCGATTAGCCATGCTCACGGTCATGAGCGCTTTGGTGATGTGTCATGAGTATAGTCTTGTGTCGTAAACTGTGTTTATGAAACTAGGGATTGAAATGGAAGAATTGTGTTGAGTTGTGTGAGTGATGATGATTATAAGAGTTGTGTCATGGAAGACAACAAGAGTATGCTTATGATGATATGATGTTATCTATGATGATATGATGAACTTACAAATTTGTTTTGTTGATTGAATCAACTCCTTTACAAAAGATTTGTGAACCAAAACTTGCTTTATGCTGAAATTAAACTACATATTGCCCTCCTTTGAATATATGCCTTACATGTAGTATGTTAGGATTGATTTTTGGCTTCCCAGTACATTAATGTACTAACTCTTGCTACTGGAATAACCTTTTGCTTGCAGGTTAGACTTAGTCTTTTGAGAGATGCGGGTTTCAGGTTTCGATTGCTCTTTCTAGGACTTGAACTTAATGGGGTAAACCCCTAGTCGGTGTGCTTGTGGTTGGGTAGTCAAGCTTCCGCTGTTCTCTGTTATCTATCTATATTTGGCCGGTCGGCCTATGTAACTATAAAGTAGTTGTAAATTTGAATCGCTTTCGTCTTATTTGTATTTGCTATGCATAACCATGCTTAAGATGAAAGTGTGAATCTAGTGCACATCCTGGGAACTAGATTCGCATGAGTATGAGTTAAGGATATTTGAGATATCGTAGATCTTTAGCCATTTTGTCAAGTCTCCTGAATGTGTAACACATCTGGTCGCCACCTTCGTGTGGTTTGACGGGCACATCTCAGGCTGAAGTTGACTGGCAGGCTAAAGGCCCATCAATGTCTCTAATATCCTTCTCTCGAGGCGTTGGATGTTTCATTATGTTTGTTTGATGTCTTGAATTATTCACTTCATCCCTCAAATATAATGAGAGGTCCGGAGAGCCTACGACATGACTGAACTGAACACACACCCTAAACTCTGCATCTGGATCGATCCTATCGTATATGAATACAAAAATGAGAGATAGATCCATTAGTTTTCACACTAAATCAGTTCTCACCTAGGTTACACAATACCATCCTCTAGAGCCTCCATTGCCACCTCTCCCTCTCTCCCTTCAAACCCTAGGCATGGCGGGGGAGCACGGGAGCAGCGCTCGGCCATGGCGGCGTCGAGCTAGGGCGGCGCCAGGTTGCAGTGGTTGGCGGCAGTGGGGTGGCGGCAGCCGGCGGCGGGGTGGTGGTGCCCGGCGTCGGCAGTGGGGTGCCGGCGGTCGGCGGTGGGGTGGTGGCGCTCGGCCTAGCGGTGGTGGGGAGCGAATCTGGCTGATCCAAAGAGAGATATTTCTCTCTTCTCTGTTTGGATCTCACAGGTGGGGCCAGGGACAGAAATGTCCATGAACAGGTGAGAAACAAAAATAAGTGACGAAAATAGTGAAAGTGGTACCAAATATAACAATGAGCAGTCCTAATGCTATATTAATCAAGGCATGCAGATTGGATGGTAAAATCTAGAAGGCATGCGAATTGAGTGCTATATTCTCTAAATTCTCTTCTTTCTCACCGCCTCCCGGCCTTCGCCGAGGAGTAGGCCCAGGAGGGCGACCGTCGTCCGGCTCGGCCCTCCCCTCTCCTTTCCCCCTCCCTGTTTCACCTGATGTGCCGAGGGTGTCCTGATCTTTCGATGAGAGGGATTAGTCGATTGGATGGAGTGACATTGGAGATCCGACTACAACTATCCAGGGATGTTGCGCCTTAGTAATCGTTACACCGACTCCAGAGGCGGTCGTGAATCTCGACAGATGCATGATTAGCTCAACCACGAGGGTTTTTGTTCCTGCAAGCAATCGAGAACCAGTAAGAACAAGATGAATAAGCAAGTCAATTTACGAATCAAAGATGTTGGATTGAATCAATAGAAGTAACAAGTGGGGTTCAGTAACAAGCAATCTGGCGATCTAATCGATCACGGGATCAACTTGGCAAAGTAGCAACACTATACTTTGATCTAAACAAAACCCACCAAACCTTGAAGGGGTACCAAGCTATTTATGGAGATGGGAGGACCCTAGGTCGTCCTCCACCTGGTTGGGGCGCACCCGTCATGGGCCCCACGTGGGCCGGAGCCCCAAATAAAATTACAAGCCCATTGGCCCAATATAAGTGAAGCAACACCTTGTTTCTGCAATTATGGATGACTGGGATGGAATTTAGTGATGAGTCTGGATCTGTTGGAAAGAGGATTCCAAGGGCTTTCCATCAAGTACTTACGGGCCAAAAACGGAGGTCGTATGCAGATTTGGCGGCCATTTGAATTCAGCAATGTGGGAGGTGGCCGAATTGGATTACAGAACTTGTCAACTTGATCTTGATGTGAGCGATGGTTGTATCTATAGTAGCCATGGTCACATCACCAGCTGGACGGGAGCACAACAACAGAGTCACTGGGTCTCGAGGTACTGCTTGGCAGTTGACTTTGGGAATGCCCAGGAACGCTGACAAGGGTTCAATGAAGTAGCATGTTTGTAATCAATATTGTTGCATATAAGTAGCTTAGCTTCTGTGTTTATTTATGTAGGTGCCTGTCGAAACTAGATTTCGGCAATACTAAAAGAGGTAGGAAACAAGCTATGAATGTGGATGGGTTATGAGACAAAGGATTTATACAAGTTCAGGCTTTCTCGATGAGAAGTAATACCCTACTCCTGTTTAGGGAAATATTCTGCCGATTGTGGTATTGATCTGACAATCTGGTGTGTGGTTATACCCTCAAGGAGCCCCTTTGTGGGCATCCAAAAATTATACCATCCAGTGCAATTTGTGACCACCACATAATTTTGGATGAGCGGGATCCATACACACATAAATAGCCACTCATACCTCAATGTGCCCATGATCACAAATTGACACCATCCGATATAAAATCCGTAATGCTGAATAATGAGCAAAGGGGATATTGTTCGGACTCAGCGTGGCAGTCAACTTCAACTTGCAACATGCCCGTCTAACCACACGAAGGCGGCAGCCAAATGTGTTACACATCTCAGGAGACTAGACTCAAATTGCTAAAGCTATACAACATCTCAATTGTACAAAATTCAAACTCATGCTTAGCTAGTCTCCAGGAAAAGCGATTAGTCTCACACTTTCATCGCAAGCAATTGATAAACATCACCAATGAATAATTATGGATAAAAGGTCAGCAAGGTACATAATTCACAACGGGGTTCAAAAGCACGTCATACAACACAAAATATAGCAGTGGAAGTTTCATAAATTCACATAAGCAAAAGTAAAACCCGTGGTGTGCCAACCATCCCACAAGGGCAACCAACTGGCGCAAGAGCCAAGCTGAAAAGGCTACTCACTACCCTCACTGCCCTCGGCAGGGTAGTAAGAACATTCAATCACGCCGGTAACCTCTCCTGAAATTGCATGCAACGGGTTAAGTACAAGATTGTACTTGCAAGTCTTACACATTAAAATACATATACATAGAAGAGAGGAGTATGCAAGCTTCTACCTTAAAAGATGGTACAATGGTTTAAGTTTTGCATAAAGCTAATTTTATTGAGCAAGTAGTAAGTTGAAAACATAGCATTGATAAGATAGCATAATCTGAAATTTTTGGGCAGTAAGCAAGTAAATCTGAAATTGAATCACAAATGAGCACAACCGGTGCTCTCATCGCCATCCATGGGCTACCGTTGCCCAACCATGGATTCCAAATATAAATATCACCATATCCATGACTAAACCAAGCCATTTAACACAAGTTTGATGCTAACATAAATTGACTAACACATCAAGCGATCGTCCTGTAACTATGGGCATGGCTATTCGAATAGTTTTATTCTGATAAGGTGTACAACTTTACCCACACGAAATAAACAAGGATCAAATGCTTCACACGCACACAGGTGTGACCAACAAGTAATACAAGCTCATAACATGTCCTTTTCTAATCACACCCCAACCACCTAAACCACGCCTAGGCCCCCGACGATGTAGCCACGTGCGTGTGATGTGGCTAAGGTGGGCTCACCATCGCGGGAGAAACCCTTTGCCAAAACCAGGCACACCCGGGGCGCTCCAAAGGGAAAACCACCCTCACGAATGACCAGCGAGACGTCGATGATCACAATGCAACATAGTACTAAGACAAGCCGGTCCCAAATAAGGCGTGTTGAAGTACGTATGGTGCTTGAATAGATGTCAACATGCTCGGTCCTTAACAACCCAGACGGGACTAACCTAGATGAGACTACTTGCATCAGGGAAAAGCACCATCCCGTCATCGCCCTATCACTGGTCGAGTTAAAGCATGTTTCTATATTAATCATTTAATTAAGTAATCGGATTTTATGCCCATAAATCGCAGGGGTGAATAAGTTTAATCGATGGCTCCATCCATCGATTTCTAACAACACTAGACCTAAGCATGGCTAAGCATCGGTAAAACAATAAAACATTCCCAAGTACTTTCATCTAGAGGCTACAAGGATAAATGGTAACAATGAAGCAAGGAAGGATATGCAACAATCAGGTTATGAACAACTCCCGATACCGATAATTTTAGAGAAATCAACACATGCATATATATTGTTTTGCAATCAAATCATTTTAGTAAAAATATGGGTTCTATATGCATAGATGCTTGCCTTGTTGCTGTGAGTAATCACACTCAAATCTGAGGTTCTTGCTCCATGTACTCCAGAACATCTGAATCTACCGATAAGAGGCAAATATGCAAATAAGATTCAAATGAACATGCATATGCAACATGCTCTATAAATCAAGGCCTAATTACAGTACGTAGGGAATATGATAAATTGATTTTAGAAACAAGAATCACATCATTTACATTTTGGTTTGGGATATATAAAAATAACAAGCCATATACACTGAAAATGGCATTTCTGTGGTTACTTATTACTCCCTCCCAAAACATAAGCATTTTTAGCTATGAATCTAGACAACTGTGTGTCCAATTTCATAGCCAAAAGTTGCTATATTTTAGGACAGAGGTAGTAACTACCTTAGGTAGTATGAAATGCTGTTGTTTCCTAGTTAGATTTCAGAAGTTCTATCATTTTTAACTAAAAGGGCATAACTTACTGGTTCTAACAAATCTGGTTCACTGTATTTGGAGTTAAAATTATTTATTTATGAATTTTACAAATTCAATAAAAGGAGAATTACTTAATTATTTATGCTTGTTTTAGGAGGTAGTTTTATCAAATTCTTCTTTTCCAGATAAAAGATTACATCTTTCTAAGGTAACTGTTGACGTGAAAAACACACACTGGCCAAGGAGATCTTCTTAGCTCCAGTGCAGGTCCAAAGATTGATGATATGCGGGCGTGCCAGTCAGTTTGATCCTGCAACTAACAAGATATGTAAACAGCGGATAAAACAGCCGATCGGCTAACAAGCCGATGGAGTAGTTCCAGTTGATAGTCGATACTAGCCGATAGCGATAGGGTTTTGAGCAATCGGCTATATGTCCAATGTGGATGATGATATAAAGACAATTGGCTAATGATAATAAGATATAACAATAATATAGTCCAATAGAAACCAATCGACTAATAATAATATGATAGGATAAGTACTAATCCGAAGGTTAAAGCATACATCAGCTGGAAGTCCGATGTCATAAA